CAATCAAAGAATCCTCCGTAAAGCACAATGTTCATATGAAAATTGTACACCCTATATGTCACGACCCGCTCCCCGTACCCAAGGGTTAAGTATCGTGATGGCCAGTAACTGAAGTTACCTCCGGCCAAATCATAAACAAATCAAATAACGCGAGCGAAAGTAATATTTAAATAAGGGTACCAAAATAATCATTGGAGCTTCTATTTTTATTACAAAATATATTGACCAAAAAGACCAATATTTACATAGGAAAATATCATAAAAGTGCTCTATGTGTCTAATCCGCAGCCTCGCATCTAAGACTTTCCAAAAGTTATTTCTGAATTGCACTGCTTCCTGAAAATTGGTAAACAACTATAAGCACATAGTAGAGTGAGAAATATTATACTAAGAGTATAAGGGCATAAAATTCACCATGGATAATTATTGGCTAAAAAGAGTTTGATATTAAAATGCATCATATATAATACGGAGATCATTTAACATATAATATGGAAATCATTTGACATATACTACATAAATTACGTAAACAACTATAACCACGGAACATAATGGAACAGAACAGGGGTCACTAAGTGATAATCACTACAGGGGTCAATAGATCCATGACAACACTGGACCACAAAATGGTCAAACACTAGCCAATGGTTATTTTAAGTCCCCCAAGGCGTGGGACTCCCGTGGTGGTACTTACAAAACATAATTACTTATAAGGTCATAGTCAAATATTCTTTAAAATATAAACAAACATATCTATGGGTTTCCTTTTAAGCAAATAGGGTTCAGAAAAAATCCACGTAACTGAAACCTTTATAAAACATAACTTTTATTATTATACTAATAAAATATAACTAGTATAAAATAGATTTTGATAAGTCAAAACATCAGTAAAATACATTTTGATAACTCAAGGTATAATATAACTCACCATAACTTTAATACATCACTATTTCTTTTCACCACAAAAAACCCTTTCAGCTTCCATTATTTTTTCCTCTTCCTTCTCTCCTTTTCTCTCTCTTCTTTCTTTTCTTTTCTTTCCTTTTCCTTGCTTTTCTTTCTGGGCACTTCACCCCTTATATACAAAGGAGCCGTGGGCTCCAAGCCACGGCTGCCACGTGTCACCTTCTTATTAGTTCTCCATTAATTGAAGTTTATTCAAACTTAACTTAATTACTTAATTATACTTTGACCCTTAAATTTAATAATATATAATAAATTATATATTTTCCCTAACTGTGATTAAATAATATTAGTATAAATTCTACAGAATAATTAAAATTTTGGGTTGTTACACTATATCGGCTCTTTGCATGATTTTCGATTATGACTTCCCAACTTATCACATCTCTCGCACCTTATTTGTTTCAGCTTCTCACCCCTTGATGGAATTCTATTCTTGTTCCGCCTGCCGGGTGGTCTTTTCACAGTTAGTGGGTATATGGTAAAGTCCGTAAGATCGAAAGACGGCTTTTCCACCGATGGTATGGAGAATATGGTGCCCGAATAGGCTATACGATACGTCTCTACATAAAAGTAATATTCCACACAATCATTGAGATTGTATTGACTCTTCTAAATAGCAATAACAACATGGTCACATGAGAATCCGTTAATCTGCCATTGGAAGCAATAGCACGTACGCCTTGCAATGTCAACTATAATAGATGGTATTGAATAAATCTCAAATACATTTTTATTGGCTTTGATAACTTGCCAAGACCTACTGTTGTTGAACGAATCAAAAAGCGTGGTTTCAAATGTCGAACAAATTGTTTCCTTCAACTTGTTTGCTTAGTCACGTCGCGCCAAAAGTTACCGCATCAACTGAGTACGAATTGTGTCCACCAACCGAGTGATAGAAAGATTACGTGCTTCTTTAATCCAATTATTAAATGACTCCGCTGCATTGGATGTTATCTCCCCATAACGCATGCCCCTACACAATATCACAACATTATACAACATTGAAGTTAATTTTTTCGAAACTGAATATGAAATTTCACATCGCCACAAAACATGACTGATATTACTACACGCTACCATTCTAAAATTAACAAATGGAATACATCATGAAACTACTATTACCTGAAGTATGAATTTGCCCAGTGCTTAGGTGCCAACTCCTTGAAAAAATTATGTGCTCGTTGTTTGCCCTCCTCTTTTAATTTCTCAAGCTTTTCATGAAACCCCACCACAGTTGACTCATAAGCACAGTCACCCAAACTACTAACCAGGTGGTCCCTAAATCCATTATCAATCCCCTTCATCCGATCTTTTAAATTGTTTTTCAAGTGTTGTAAGCAATAACCGTGGTAAGCTGATGGGAACATCTTAGGCATCGCTTCTAACAGACCAAGATTACCGTCAGAAATAAAAGTAATCTGACGCTTACCATCAACAACTTTTCCAAGTTCGTGCAAGAACCACGACCAATTGGCCGTGGTCTCCGAATCAACAATCGCAAAATACAATAGGAAATAGACCTACAACATACTAACATTAAACAACTGATCACAATATTCCAATGTGAATATTAACACAAGTAGTTACAAAAACACTAAAAAGTCCGCAGGCTTTGTGAATATTTACACTGTGTAATGGTAAGCCGAATACCCACGTGACGCCACTCAATGTGAATATTTACAATGACACACCCAGATACAAAAAAAATACTAACCATTGTTTCCATATTTTGCTGTTACCGCAAGTAGCTGACTGTTGTACTTTTCTTTGAGGAACGTTCCATCAAGGAACAACAAAGGCCGACAAAAATTGTACCCAGAAATACACGCAACGAAAGATAAAAAAAAAAATGACAAAACTATTGACTACTCGCGTCGTAGTCAATATTAACATAACTCCCCGGATTGTAACACATCACAGTATCCGAATACCACCACAGCTGGTCAAACGATACCAAAAAATGACAAAACTGTTGACTACTCACGTTGTAGTCAATATTAACATAACCCGAATTGTAACATATCACAATATCTGAATACCACCACAACTGGTCAAACGACAATGAGTGATCTTCATGAATGACAACCTTTGCTTTCTCCATGCCCAACACCACGTGGTAGCTTACATCCATACTATAGTCCCGTTTCAAAATAGTCACTACCTCACATGGGCGAGTTAACAGCTTGTTCCTCACAATTTTAAATATAGTACTTGATACCATATCGGAAGCAACTCTCGGATTCTTTAACATCTGGACATTTGTACCATAACTATGCAAATCATTGAACCTCTTGATGTAAAAAAATTCATTTGATCGCTGTGCTCTACAATGTATAGCCTACAAGCATCCTCTTTCCTCGCGTATCGCACATACCACAGTAACCCTCGTTGTCTTATTCTCGACATACTCAAACTAGAACTCGCATTAGATTGCATACTTGCATAAAACATTTATGAAATTCTTGTGCACCTCCTACAAACCACTATTCCACATTCGTAATATCATTTGCCCAAAGGGCTGACAACAACACCTTCTCCTTATATTGGCAAAATCACCGGAGTGCATCAATTTCTTCCCCACCCTCCACATGCAGCGACCCAGAGCTACTCAACTGACCAATATTAGTTTTCAACTCAATGACAACCTCTACTTGTTGTACCTCCATTGATTTGGCAAGCAATAAGATGTTCTGAAATTATTCGTCATTGTCCAAATCACACCTATTAATCCCAAGTAGCCGACAGAACAATGAAATAAAACAAGCAGACAACTCACCCCATTTTTCACACAAACACTCCACCAAACGCGAATAACACAATGCGTGAACCACATTTATTACAGTTGTACTGCAACCATATGGGCACACTAACATCATAAATGTATCAATCTCCTGTAAAAACACAACAACACAACAGTAAACAATTACATTACAACCATACGAACAACAACACATGCAATAACCTATACCATATGAAAAATCACATTGTGCAAAAGTAAATGCCTATGTGTACAGTTCCATTGCTAAAGCCATAATGAAAACTATCACCATCATCCTTACACAACATAAAACATTTTACAATATCAAAATGACACCACCAGAATGAGAAGACAGTACACAACATGCAAGCAACCCTCCATAACTTCATATTAATAAAATGTGAACATTCACATTGTTACAGATACTCTGAATTATCTCGCCCACACAGAGCCTTATTAAGCAAACATCAAAAACTCATCAAACAAACACTTGCATTACCACATAAATCAAAATATAAAATAAAACGAACATACAAAGTATATACGTATATGTACATTTTACATTGCCAAAACCAAACTCAAAATATCACCATCATCATTACAAATAAAATGTGAACATTCACATTATTCTCATAATCTGAATTACCTCTCCACCACATGGCCATGTAAAATGTATATTGAACAAACAAAGCATCTGATCCATATCAAACAAAAAACAAAGCATCTAATCCATCAGACAAATCAAAACATAAACTAAACATGTATTCATAACCAAAATGATAACCTTAATCATGCAATTTTACACTCGTCCTCTACTTCGAAAACAACTGATTTCAACTAGTTATAATCCAAAAAATGTCATAACTAAACACCGTTCGAGCCGTCGTCTTCACTTCTAAATCACCGAACCCTACCACAACAGTAACAATGAAACCCTAGCACATCAAAACCTTCAAAACGTAATGAACACAAAAAAAAAAAAAAGTAAACGTTTGTATCTGTTATTTCTATCAACACTATAGATAAGGACATAATAATCTATTAAAAAATATAAAATTAATAAAAATGATCTCATGGAATAAAAAGATAAGTACATAAGACTAATAAGATTATAACAATCTTTTGTGGACCTAATGAGTTACAATAACTCTAAAATGAATTTATCAATAAATATTTCATTTTTAATTATTTATCATCTAACTAAATTTTTTATAAATTCATTTTATTTTTTCTTAAAAAAAAAAAAATAAGCAGAACTAATTTAACGAGACAATCAAAAAATCAGCTAAAAACGTTCCTCCCAAACCAAACCAATCCTTCTGCTCTGTTGTGTGTGGATATCCTATCCTTGATTCGAGTTGGGAACCGTCGTCGAGGAGAGAGAGAGAGAGAGAGAGAAGATGAGTGGAAGTAGGGCGAAGAAGGTAGTAGATGTAGCATTCAAGGCAGGGAAGAGCATAGATTGGGATGGGATGGCTAAGCTTCTCGTCTCCGACGAGGCTCGCAAGGAGTTCGTTAACCTCCGCCGTGCCTTCGACGAAGTTAACTCCACTCTCCAGACCAAGTTCAGTCAGGTCTTCTCTCTCTCTCTTTCTCTCTTCCTCTCTCTAGGGTTTGCTTATGTGACAGATCTGCGATCTTTATCTAGTGAGGGTTTTTGTAATGAATTTTAATCAATTGATTGCGGTATCCTTTGGTTTAGCTGCCAAGTGATCGTTTCCAACTCTATTTCTTCCTTAAAACTCTGTTTGATTTTTAGGATTTGAGAAGGAATTTGAAAAGGAAAAGGAAAAGAAATGTGTGAAATTAGGCGAAATGTAATAATATTTTATTCATATTTTAGTTATTTTTTTCTTTTTTTAAATCTCTTCACAAATCATCCAATCAAAAACAGCTTAAAAGGAAGGGGGATTTTTGGATTTTTGGGCTTTCCAGAAAATGTTTTCTGGACAAAACTACATTTTTTCCGTGATTGGTGGTGATGAATATCATTTTCTGTCTATGGAAATTATTTTTTTGTTTTCCATTATACCAGACACCACAAAATACCGAAAACATTATCGTTAATGACATGCTCCATACCTACCATATTCACCTTCCCATTATGTGTAAAAAACTATGGACTGTCACACCGTCGTCACCACAAACATTGAGATCATATTTACTTCTGTATATTTGTGATTGCTAAGCGAATCAATGCCTTAAACTATAATATATACTTTTAGTAATATTCATTTTAAACTCATGCAGGAACCAGAACCCATTGACTGGGAACATTATAGGAAAGGAATTGGATCTCGCTTGGTTGACATGTACAAGGAAGCATATGAGAGTATGTTTCTTTTAACTGTCTCATTCTTTTTTTTTTTCCTTTTCAACTTTGTTATCCTGTATAGTTACTTCTTATTCGGGAAACGTGTCATTCGGTGGACACTGGACGTGGGTGGATTCTTTGCTGGTATTAATTCCCAGCTGCATGTCTGACCTGTGATTTGAATGTTGAACTTTCTGAATTCTCTCTCATAATTTCTCATCATGTTAAATTTCCAATATCTAACATATCTTGTGGTATGGGTGATTATCCTATCATGGCTTAATGCTTTGTATTTGAGCAGCGGCGGCATCCCCTCTTGATGCTTCGTTTTATGAAATTTGCTTTTTTTTATAATAGAGTTTGAAGTCTAACAAGCTTTCAATAATACGTTGAATGTCTAGAAATGAAGTTGTAGAATTGTCATTGATCTGGGAAAAAAATTGTAGAATTGTCAGTTTGTGTATGAACTTTAGTTAACCAGCAAGATCTTGTTCCTAGATTGATTTGTATATATATATATATTGGATAAGCAAAAATTTATTTATGTAAGTGACAATAATTATAAAATATTTCCTCAAGATCTATCAAGCAAATGATTAGGTATGTTATAATTTGTTGTAGAACAATGTAACTGACCCAATTAATGGCCCAGACTATTTGTTCAACTTCCCTCTGAATGAAAGATATTGCTATTTCGTGTCAAATACAATTGTATGCTGCATTGTAACCACTCAGAAAATATGAGAAAGGAATATATTTTTAATCTATATGAGAATGAGAACATGATTCGCTTTTATAGAGAGAGCAATTACAATAGAAAATGAAACTAATTAAAGCTAATATTTAACAGCTTCTACTTTTCTATTTTTCCTGATTTTATACAGCTTTTACTATCCATATTTACATAGAAAAACAAATCCTAGAATATTAACTAAATCAAGGCCTTAATAACTGAATTTCCAACACTCCCCCTCAAGCTGGTTTGAAGGTATCTTCCATAGCCAGCTTGCTAGTTCGCTTATCAAATTGCTTCTTGTGTAGTCCCTTCATTAGCACATCAGCTATTGTTCACCTGTTGGAAGGTATGTCATACATATTATTCCAGCATTGATTTTCTCCTTGATGAAATGTTTATCCACTTCTATATGTTTTGTGCGATCATGTAGAACTGGATTATTAGCTATAGATATAGCTGCTTTCTTGTCACAATAGACCTTCATAGGAGTCGGTTGAGAAAGCTTCAATTCTTCAAGAATTCTTTTGGTCGACATTACTTCACAAATTCTATGGGCAACAACTCTGAACTCTGCTTCTGCACTACTTTTAGCTATCACATTCTGTTTTTTACTCTGCCATGTAACTAGGTTCCCACCTATAAAGGAGCAGTATCCGGATGTTGATCTCTTGTCTGTAATACTTCTTGCCCAAGCTGCATCTGTGTAGACTTCAACTTGAAGATGTCCATGTTTCTTGAACAGTAAGCCTCTCCTTGGAGTTCCTTTCAGACATCTTAAGATCTTATAAATGGCCTCAAAGTGCTCTACCCCTGGTGAGTGCATGAACTGACTTACCATGCTGACTGCAAAGGCGATATCAAGCCGCGTATGAGACAAGTAAATTAATTTCCCCACAAGTCTCTAATATTGTTCCCTATATTTTACTTCTTCAGCTTTAGCAGCTTATAACTTCAAGTTAGGCTCAATCGGAGTCTCCACCAACTTACAACCAAGCAAACCTGTTTCTCCAAGGAGATCAAGAACATATTTTCTCTGGTTAACGAATATACCTTCCTTGGATCTTGTAAATTCCATTCCGATGAAATACTTGAGGGCTCCCAGATCCTTAATTTGAAATTCTTTTGTGAGTTTCTTCTCGAGGGCCGCTAATTTTGCTTCATCATCACCAGTTAAAATGATGTCATCAACATAAACAATTAAGATTGCAATTTTATTGTCTTTTGAATGTTTATAAAATATTGTGTGATCTGCTTGACTCTGCAAGAAGCCATAACTGATAACTGCCTTTTCAAAGCATTCAAACCACGCTCTTGGTGATTGTTTGAGTGCATATAATGACTTGTTCAATCTGCATTCTTTGTTGCTACCAAGTCTCTGCTCAAATCCCGACTGTAGGCTCATGAACACCTCCTCTTCAAGATCACCATTGAGAAACGCATTTTTAATGTCAAATTGATGTAGAGGCCAATTTGAATTTACTGCAAGAGATAACAGTACTCTGATGGAATTTATTTTAGCAACAGGAGCAAAAGTCTCGTGATAGTCAATCCCATAAGTCTGAGTGAAGCTTTTAACCACCAGTCTTGCCTTGTATCCCTCAACGCTTCCATCTGCTTTACATTTTATCGTAAACACCCATTAACACCCAACTATTTTCTTGCCTTTGGGTAGATCAACTATCTCCCAAGTACCATTTCTTTTTAAAGCATTCATCTCCTCCATGACTGCTAATTTCCAATTCAGATCATCTAATGCTTCTTGTATATTCCTTGAAACAAAGAAGTGTGAAATCCTAGATGTGAAAGCTCTATGATTTTTAGTCAGTCTTTGATAGGAGAGGTAATTTGCAATAGGATGTTTAATTCAATTTCGGACACCTTTCCTAATTGCTATAGGAACATCAAGGTCAGAAATAGAAGGAATTGGATTACCTGAAGTTTCGGTGCCAGAACTCGGGTGGACATTCGAGTCATTATTCCTCATATGAAATCTCTTCCTAGTATAAACCTGAAGCTTAGAATTTAGATCACGTTGATCAGTTTGTAATATTTCTCTTTCCAATTCAGATCATCTAATGCTTCTTGTATATTCCTTGAAACAAAGAAGTGTGAAATCCTAGATGTGAAAGCTCTATGGTTTTTAGTCAGTCTTTGATAGGAGAGGTAATTTGCAATAGGATGTTTAATGCAATTTCGGACACCTTTCCTAATTGCTATAGGAACATCAAGGTCAGAAATAGAAGGAATTGGATTACCTGAAGTTTCGGTGCCAGAACTCAGGTGGACATTCGAGTCATTATTCCTCATATGAAATCTCTTCCTAGTATAAACCTGAAGCTTAGAATTTAGATCACGTTGATCAGTTTGTAATATTTCTCCCCCTGAACAAGAATCTTCTTTACTAGGCACCAAAGAACTTGGTTCTCCTAAGTGATCATTATCAGACATATGTGGTTCTTGTGTAGGATAAATGACATTGGGAGTGGGATAGAAATATCCCAAAAATTGTCTTCTACTCCACTTGTCTCTCCCTGAAGAGAATTGTTGGTGAAGTAGGATTTTTTTTCCACAAATGACAGTTCCATACTCGCATGAAATTCTTTGTTTGAGGATCGAAACACTTAATACCCCTTTTTGTTTGAGGAATAATCCAAAAAAACACATTTTATAGCACGTTGGTCAAGTTTTGAACGAAATTGACTTGGAACGTGAACATAGGTAGTACATCCAAAAACTTTAGCGGGTAAATCAATCAAAAAAAATTTCGTTTCAGGGAAAAAAAAAATTTAGACCATCAAAAGGTGTTTTGTATGTTGACACCTTAGTAGGCATCCTCTTTATCAAATAAGAGACAGTTAAAACTGCTTCACCCCATAAATACTTAAGAACATGCATGTAAAACATTATAGCACGTGCTATTTGAAGTAAATGTTTATTTTTTCGTTCTACAATGCCATTTTGTTGAGGGGTATCTTGACATGTAGATTGATGAAAAATTTCTTTTTTTGCCAAAAACTCACCCAAGTGCTCATTGAAATATTTTGTTCCATTGTCAAAATGTAAAATACCAATTTTGGTTTGAAATTAGTTTTCAATCATATTGTAAAAATTTGTGAATAAATTTTTCACATCAGATCTTTTATTCATCAAAAAGATCCAACGTAAGCATGTATGGTCATCAATAAATGTAATAAACCATCTTTTACCAAAAAGAGTAGTGATTTTAGAAGGGCCTCAAACGTCATTATGAATTAAATAAATTGTTTGGAAGCCTGGTAATGTTTTGGAAAATAAGTAGAGCGATGAAATTTTGCAAAAATGCAACTTTCACAATGAAAAGAACAATCAATCCCTTTAAATAATTCTGGAAATAAGTGTTTCAGATAAAGAAAACTAGGATGTTCTAGTCTATAGTGCCATAGCATTATTTTTTCTCGAACAGAGATTGAACTATTACTATTAAAGCTCTGAGCTTTTTTATTACTGAAAGGTACTTCTTCAAAGTAGTAAAGACCTTCAATCATCCTAGCATACCCAATCATCATCCCCAAGTTCTGGTCCTGAAATTCACAATGAGATTCAAAAGAGGTAACACGACAATTAGAATCCTTAGATAGTTTACTGATAGACAAAAGGTTGCAGGCTAAGTTTGGGGCGTGAAGAACAGAATTGAGATTAATTTTCTCAGTTAGTTTAATAAGTCCTTTTTCTACAATAGGTGAAAAACTACCATCGGCTATTATGATTTTTTCATGACCAAAACAAGGGAAATAGGCACTAAATAAATGGGAAAAACTAGTCATGTGATCGGAGGCTCCGAAATCTATGATCCACAAAGAGAAGTTTAGGCAGGAGAAGACTTTGGGATTTCTACCTGTTTGTGCCAAAAAAACACTAGGAGTATCGGATGAGGAGTTGGATTTTATCAGCTTTAAGAGTTGATCAATCTGCTCTTTGTTAAAGGGACCTGAATTGGCTTCATTGGCAGTAGGAAAGCCATGATTCTTCTCTCCTTGTTTGCTGCTTTTCTAGTTGGCAGGTTTGCCATGGATCTTCCAACACGTTTCGCTTGTATGGCAAGGATTGTTGCAAAAATTGCACCAGCCCCGTGGCTTATCATCAAACCTGGGCTGGTAATTTGTAACCTTGTAGGCCGCAACATCGCTAATTAAGGCAGAAATTTCAATTGACTCCCCAATACCTTTTTTCTTAAGCATTACGCTCCGTCGGCTCTCTTCCCTTTTGATTTCGGCAAATACTTCGCCCATGGATGGGAGAGGAGGTCTGCCAATAATTCTTCCTCGCACTTCATCGAGCTCAATGTTGAGGTAGGCAAGAAACTTGTAAATACAACTGTCTTCCACAGTTTTCTTGTGGTGGTTGCAGTCGTCAATTGATTTCTATTCGTACGTGTTGAAGACGTCAAGATCCTGTCACAACCTTTTCAACGAATTGAAATATTTGGTGACAGAATCATCTCCTTAACGAATCTCTCCCAACTTCAAAGTCAATTCGAAAACATGAGATTGATATCCTAGGTCAGAATACATCTGACTGACATTATCCCACAACTCTTGTGCTACTAGCACATGTAATTAGAGCGTACATCCTCCTCCATGGAATTGACCAACCATGTCATAACCATGGAGTTTTTAGCGTCTCAAATGTCGAATAGCAGATCATTAACAGCAGGATCCTTCTTGTCACCCATGATGTAGCCGATCTTTCCTTGCCCGCGGATATACATCCGGACGGATTGCGACCAGCGGGGAAAGTTATCACCATTTAGGCGGATGGTGGTGATTTGGACAAAGTGAGAGTTGGACGTTTTCACCAGAATGGCAACTGTAGGGGTTGAAGTGGTTTCGGACGTGACTTCCGACATGACTACGACGGTTTTAGGGCTGCTGTGTTTTTGCTCTGATACCAACTCAGAAAATATGAGGAAGGAATATATTTTTAATCTACATGAGAATGAGAACATGATTCTCCTTTATAAATAGAGCAATTACAACAGAAAAGGAAACTAATTAAAGCTAATATTTGACAGCTTCTACTTTCCTATTTTTCCTGATTTTATACAGCTTTTACTATCCATATTTACATAGAAAAACAGATCCTAAAATATTGACTGAATCAAGGCCTTAATAACCGAATTTCCAGCATAACCTCAAAAAAAAAAAAAAAATTAAATAAATAGAGAATAAACCTCAAACATGCTCCTACTGTCTTCCAAGGAGAACAATCATGTGTTGTGTGCACATGGCTGCAGCCAGATGATTAGTGGTTTGTGTGGGGAAGGAGATAAATACATATAAGGGAAGGAAATACAAATAGTTGCACAAAGCAGAAGAGTTTAAGGTTGGGAATGGGGGCAGGGGTGGAATGAGTTTCTAGAATGAGGCCCCCATAGGAGTTTTTTGCTACTAAGGGAAATATGTAAATGTAATCCCTTTGGATTTCTTTAGATTTCTATGGATAATGCTGTTTTGTTTAGTCTCCTAAGATTTTGAACTTCAAACATCTGTTGTCAGTAATTTAGTTTGTTGTTGTGTGGAAGAGATACTGGAGTAAGATAATTGTGCTGATTCTACCAGTTGGGAATGAAAACTTTGTTTCTAGGCTACCAGTTAAGAGCAGTGTTTCTTTGGTAGGGTACTTTGTGTGTTGTGGAAGTACTGGCCCAAATGAAATCTGACATGGTTTTATACAAACTGAATAAACTTGACATTCTGATGTAAAAAGACACTGGCGCAAAAACAACTATATACCCTTAGCAGTTTTGCGCACAGATGTCCAATTCATACTGAGACGCACTTCTGTGAAAGGACTTCTTTTTCAGAGTTCATATTTATTGGACTAAATCAAAAGATTACAAGACTCAAGATGAGAGGACTTGCAAGCCCAATCCCAGTTTACCTCACATTAGAAGTGGTCTGCAAAAGTTCCTCGCTTTACTTTTCACTCTTTGTGGCTCTGACTCCGCAAACTCTCTTTATCCCAATGTTCCATGAAACTCCTCTCTCGAATCTTTGCTTATTGCAACTCCTACATATTGGCCTTGGATGGGTATGTGATGCAACTAAAATGTGTTGGTTTTTGTTAATAAAAACACTCAATCATGAAACACTATCTCACAAAGTTCTAGTTCATTGATGGGAAAACAATGGATTCCAATTAAACCTAAGTTTTCACCCTCAATTTGCGTAGTGACTTGTGCATGAGAAACTAAGCTCTTATTTATAAGAGAACTAGAAATTTAACCTAATTAAGCCAAGTTTCGGCTGCCCACTTGAGCGCCCATTGGGTGGGCTTCAAGCACTGGCTATTGACTTGCATTGAGTTGCAATGTGGACCAATTATAAAGTGACACACTCGAGTGGCTATTGAGTGAGTGTGGTATATGGGAAACTAGCTATTGGAAAATAGAGATGTCTATGCTCGAGTTGGAATTAGGTCCTCTTCAAGTGGGACCTGCTGGAATGGGGAAAGTCAAAATTTCACGACCCGCTAGAGCAGGGCATTGCGTTTGGCAAATGTGCACAGCTCATATTTTGGAAATGAAATCCAAATTACATAGTACAACAGATAACACTAAGCCTATAAATCCCACAAAACATAGACCTAATATGGAAATTGCAACACTAACCTACTATATATCCTATAACATGAAAAGGGTATAGATTGTGGTTTCAGACTTCATTGTTATTTTTGTTTGTGAGAATTTGAAAAAATGAAAACCAAAGGTAAAAATGAAAATGAAAATGATATGAATAAATAAATAAATAAGATGCCCGAAAATTGTGATTAGAGATCTTTTGTCTTTGTAACAATAGGATCATGATTTATAATAGCCAGTGGCCGAAATTTATTTTATTGGAACAAAAGGAATTTGACACTGACTCAATTCTCTCACTCTCTGGACTTTCTTTTGTCTTGAATGTGCATTCTTCAACTGTTCATTGCTCTGTAGGCATTGAAATCCCAAAGTATGTAGACAATGTTACTCCTCAATACAAACCAAAGTTTGAAGCCCTGGTGAGAACTCAATGTTTCCTGTTGGTTGAATAGAGCTTGGTCTTTTTGCAAAAGGAGAAACATATAATATAGCGTTATGTTTTTGAGTTAACAGTTGGTGGAACTGAAAGAAGCAGAAAAGAAGTCTCTGAAGGAGTCTGAAAGGTTGGAGAAAGAAATTGCAGAAGTCCAAGAGTTGAAGGTAATGTAAAACTGTCGGTTCTGTTCTTTTCATCTCTTTGCTCATTTTTCTTTATTTTGGTCTCTGATGTGGTGGTTGTTTATCATGTAACAGAATAAGATCAGTACCATGACAGCAGAAGAATATTTCTCCAAGCATCCAGAGGTAAAGAAGAAGTTTGATGATGAAATCCGAAATGATTACTGGGGCTATTGATGTCAGCTGTGTGTAGCAGTTCAAAGCACCACTTTTACAGGTGAACTTTTTTCTTGTTCATCTGTATCTGTTTCGGTTTTTTAGAATTTAAAATAAAAAAAAAAATTTATAAAAAAAAAGGGAAAACCAAATCGTTTTGCTTTATGTTTCTTTTGTAGAGCTTGAACTACAATGTATTTCATGTTGAGATGTCTTCATCCAGAGAGATTAAAGAGTTGATTTCTATTTCAAAAACAAAATGTGGATTGCTTTAAATCATGGTTTGAGTTTGACATGTTTTTCTTTCTCCCATTAACTTGTATCATGCAAGCTTTTCCATCAAAATTGATTATTTTCTAATAATATATATATATATATATATATATATGGACTCGCATAGTTTCCTAATTGATGTAAGAAGCATATTAGCTGATTAAGAGCAATAAGATTGGCGAATTGCAGATTATCTTTCTGATGTAGGCAATATGGTTTGTGACTGCAAGAGTCTATCGGCTTCTTTTAGTAGCATAGAGAGGTGGCAATGCCACGGCTCATGCTTAGGGTTGTAAATGAGTCAAGTGGTCAGACTTGACTTGAACGCTTTATGAGCTTCAAAGTAACCTCAGCTTGTTTATCTTTCGAGTTAATCTCAAATGAGTTTTAAACTAGGTGATAGCTTAATTTTTTTTATAATACATATAAGAGAGCCAAATTGAGTGATAATTAGTTCAATCTTGGGTCCAAGCCCTACCTAACGAGACATTTGGGCCTATTTTTGTTTTTCAAGTTTCTTGAGGAGACATGCTAACATTGGTGTAAGGTGTAAGGTGCAAGGTGGATTGCCTACCACTACCAAGGCTGATGTCCATTTTCAATATTATAGTTCCAAAAAAATGAAGCGAAGCAATTTGGAAAGGAAAGGGCTTTTAGGAGAGGAAAATTACACTAATTATAGTTATTTCACTTTTTATGGGTAACTAAATAATGGGTTATTTTCATGAATTCAAAAAATAAATAAATAAATAAATAAATTAATGGGCTCATTTGATAGAATTATAAGGCAATTTATTTAGCTTATTTGATTAAAAAAATTGCATAGTAGTTGTATTTGGTTACAATTTTAGATTATAACTTGTTTGTTTTTTTTAGCGTATTTGGCCAAAACAAATTTGAGATTTTCATAAGTTACAATTTGTAACTTTTTTTTTTATCATATTTGAAACCATTAAATAAATATGGACAAAATAATCCGTTAAATATTTGTATAACAAAAAGATTATGTGACTACTTTACTAAGTAGGTTCAATTTTTTTTTTTCCGAACAAATTGTAAAAGTTGTACTAAATAGATTTATAACTTATTTAAAATCTTTTAAGCTAATAATAAAAAAAGTTATAATTATAAAAGTCAACCTTATAAGCGATTTAAAATCTTTTAAGCTAATAATAAAAAAAGTTATAATTATAAAAGTCAACCTTATAAGCGATACCAAATGGGCTAATGTATATACATATATTGACAAATAGCTATTAATTTTTTCTCATTTTTCTTATCCAATTAAAAAAAAAAAACTTTCGTTTCATCTTCTTTTTCCTTTTAAACCAATAGAGTGATAAATGTTGATGGATTTTTGTCAAGTAATTAAGTGTCAAATAATGACTCACTTAGGAGTTATTTGGAGTGTCCTAAATAGGTGTATTTTTTTGTCTTTTTAGATCAAAAAGTTGAGGAAAAAAATATGGATGTTTGGATTAACTTTTTGACTTTTTACGAAAAAATGTGTATTAAAAAATTGTATAAATAAGTGTGTTGGAGAAGTTAGTAATTAGGCCGTATAGGTTGGGCAGTGCAGTCTGCTGGTTAGGAGATGGAAAAAGATTGCCTCATTTTCGAACTTTAATTGGACGGTGTTGTTCGGTCCGTGGGGGCTCACCATAGGTCCCGTTTTATTAATCGGAACCGTTCAATGTGTAGAATTCGTCGAGTAATATATGCTCGTAAAAAAATCACATTGATTGGATATCGATAGCTATCTGATCGTGTTAGTTTTTTTGTCAACTGTTAACTATAATATCATCTATTTTTTATACAAAATTGATTTGATCATGTAGTTAGTGATATCCGATAGAAGTGATTTTTTACAGGCATATAGTACTAGACGATTTCTACATATTAACGGTTCGGATTATCAAAACGGAACCCGTGATGAGCCTCCATGGACCCAACATTACCATTCAACTTAGAGAATATATATATGAATTTTTTTTTTTCCCCGTTCACTATGTTTGCTTTGACGTTAGTACCTAGAATGACGTGAAGTTGATTTGTATTTTAATATTATGTATATTAATTTTTTTATATTTTTTTTTGTAAATAGTGATAATTTTTTTAATAACTTTTTGACTTTTTCTAAAGATCCCAAATCAGGCCTGTTATAATTAATTGACACTTAATTAATTGACAAAAATCCATTAACATTTATCACTCTATTGGTTTAAAAGGAAAAAGAGGGGCATTTCCCTAAATAAGCCAAAATAATAAGGGAATTCTCAAACTAAGCCTAGTTTTGAAAGATTTCTCAAAGTAAGCTAACTCGCGGTTCACAATCGCGAGTTCAACACTTTTCCACCCCTGTCGCCTGAAACCTGCCAAAATTGAAACTCGCTGTTACGAAAAGCGAGTTTAATTAAGAACTCGCTGTTAGAAAACGCAAGTTTAATTAATTTTTTTTTTCTTTTGAACTCGCTTTTTGAAAGTACGAGTTTAGCAGAAATGATTTTTGTTCTGAACTCGCTGTTTATAAGCACGAGTTTATCAAAAAAAAATTTCTAATGAACTCGCTCTTTGTAACCACGAGTTCATCAAAACCCACGTTTTATGAAAAAAAAAAATTTCTTCTAACCTCACTCTTTAGAACCACGGTTTTTGCCAAATTTTTTTATGAACTGCGCTTTTAGCGTAAATTTTTTTTTTTAATTTCAATTTTACTGAACTTTAAAGAAAAAATTTTCGTTCTTTTGTTTATGTTGTCATTATTTTGGTGATAATATATTTCAGAATAATTTTTTTAGTTAAAATTTTTTTACTAAAACCGTTCTCATATTAATTTTTTTTTCTTTCCTTTTGTCTTTATTTTTGGTTAGAATGTGTAATTCAACATTTTTTTTTTATTTTGTTTGACTAAAGTAAATTTATTTTGTTTTTTCTTGTGTTTGTTTTGGGTTAGAAGGTAATAATGTAATTCATAAATTTTTTGAGCTTTAGTAAAGCCATTTTGATGTCAATTTTTTTTAATTATTATTTCTTTGTTTTGCGTTAGAAGGTGTTATTCAGTAATTTGTTTGGGCTTTAATAAATCTGTTTTCATTTAAATATATATATTTTTTCTTTTGTCTTTATTTTGGGTTAGAAGGTGATAATGTAATTCAAAAATTTTTTTTCACTTTACTAAAGCCATTTTCATGTAAAGTTTTTTATTTTTTATTTTTTTCTCTTGTCTTTGTTTTGGGTTAGAATGTGTTATTCAGAATTTTGTTTTGGCTTTACTAAAGCCGTTTTCATGTAAATAATATATTTTTTTTTCTGTTGTCTTTGTTTTGGGTTAGAAGCTGATAATGTAATTCATAAAACCTTGAGGAAAAAACACATAAGTCTCCCACAAAAATACATAAGTAGTACAAACATAAGTCTCGAACAACAATACATTGTGGACACCATGAACTGAACACACAATACATAAACAAACATAACAGTTAGACAGACAAATATTAGCCAGACAATCTGACCAACTCATTACGGAAACATTTACTCTAACACAGACATTACATATTAATGCATGACCTAATATTGCCGAAGTGTAGACATTAACACCTATTCGGGAGCTGGGGACATGGATTCAGCAAAGAAGATGTTTGATGAAATGCCAATGAGAGAATGCCTAAGGTCCCTTAAATCAATCCAGAGAAATTTCAATCCAAACCATAGAATTTCTCTAGACCAAACCAAAGAAAATTCAATACAAACTAGAAAAAATTCAGTACAAACTAGAGAATTTCTCTGGACCAAGTGAGAGAAAATTCAGTACAAACCAGAGAATTTCTCTGGACCAACTGAGAGGAAATTCAGTTCAAACCAGAGAATTTATCTGAACCAAACCAGAGAAAATTCAGTCCAAACCAAAGAATTTCTCTAGACCAAACCAGAGAAAATCCAGTTCAAACCAAAGAATTTCTCTAGACCAACTTAAAGAAAATTCAATTCAAACCAGAGAAAATTTAGTCCAAACCAGAGAATTTTTCTAGATCAACCCAATTTTCTTTAAAGCAGAGCACTAGTTCAACCCAGAGAAAATTCATTCAAAACTAGAAAATTTCTCTAGACCAATCCAATTTTCTCTGAAACAGAGCCTTAGTCCTCATTGTTGTCCAAAGAAATTTAGAATTTTTTCTATGATATGTCCAGAGAAATTCTCTAGATCAATGTTGGAGGACCTTAGATATTATGAAAATATCAAGTGTTCTTTATGCTATAAAATCTCAATACGAAAGACCTTAAAAAAAAAATGAAATAGTTATAGTTGACAGACATGTCTCTTGGACTTCGTTTGTTTTTTTCTTGAACTTAGGATTGATATTAGTTTTTTTTTTTTTTTTTATGACTCTAGGATTTTGATAATTTGATATGGTTTGTAACTTTACATTATTTAAGTTGTTTTGACTATTTATTGTTACTTTAATGTTGGAGGTATTCAATAGTTATGAGATTATGATGGATGGTTTGTTTTGCATTTTGTTAGTTTTGTTTAAATCCCTTGTTATATTTTGAGCTTGGAAATTTATTTAAACCTTATAGAGTCGAGAACGTTCAGATTTTTGTTTCACCCCTAGGATTTGGATGATGGAATATTGATTGGGGCTTTGTCCTAATTTAATATTTAATTATGCAAATTTTGGGGCGTGACACACATCCTCCCAATGTGGCACAGCAGCCTGCTGTGCCTTGTCGGCACAACAGAGACCTCTCTCCCTTGTGTACTTATCACAAACATTAATTTTGACTTTTACACGTACATATATAATAAAAGGAGAATTAGTCTAAGGTCCCTCTCCCAATTTTAGTAATGAAAAGGATCCACAATATTTTTTTATGATGTATAAGATCTCTCAACCCCACATACTCAGGTATTATAGAGAAATTTGATATATCTCACAGTTTTAAACCCTCACCTCCCTCTCTCTCTCTCTAGAGGTCTGAACAACCAACAATGCCATTGCTAGAACTCTTCGCCACTGCCGC